AAACTAGGCCATATCGTTCCAAACTTGAAATGACCATAACTCGCTTGGAAATTGGCTTTTTTCGAATCTGAAAACAGATATGTAGGTCCCAAAGCATACTCTTTAAAGCCTAACACACCATGGCCTAGTTTTACGACAATTGTATTTCTAGGCCACCGAACCAAAAATGGCCATAACTCGTTTCAAAATCGATATTTTTCGAATCTGAAAACTGATATGGAGGTCCCAAAGCATACTTTTTCAAAACCTATCACACCATGGCTTAGTTTCATGACATTTGTATTTCTAGGCCACCAAGATGTAACTCGCTTCAAAAGCGACTTCCGCCTTTCTTTTCCAGGTCTTCCGCATTCCATCATCACCATACCGTCCGACACCATCCCAATTGGCTAATATCGATATAGATGTGCCTATAATCGAAAGAGTCTGTGGTCTAACCGGTGGCCGAAGTTTTGCAATCGTCTCACTCCGTCAAATTCAAACTTCCATTGATTATATTCTGTCGCAATCTAATCAGCACAAAGTTGGCGTTCGTTTCGGGTGCTTGCCGCATTTACGTAAGTTTTTCTTGGATTTTTTGGCTGAATGGCCCCAATTTTTTGGTTAAAAAAAAGGCATTTTCCAATATTGCTCAGTCTAATTGTAAGGACTACAGTAACCCCTTGGGAAAGATTTTACAGCTGGAAACATCACAAACGATGAGTACTACGTATCAAACGTCGTTTCGACAATGTGAATGCCAAGAAACCAGTCACAAATCTAATTTCTCGATCCAACAATCAAGGAAGACCCGTGACGTGTCATTGGCCGATTCCCGAGAGCTATTTCCCTACGAGAGGCTTGTGAGTGGACGTTTGACTGAAAATGAGCTGAAAATAAGCAAAAAATTGTCTAGAAACCCCTTAAAAAGCTTGAAAAAGCTTGAAAATTCACTCGAAAACGTTCAAAAACGCCTTGGGAACCCCTAGAAACCCTGAAAATCGAAATTTCGCACATTTTATAAAAAAATGCACACTTGGCTCAGTGGTTCCTGGATTTACCAATCTGACGATCCGGGTTCGAGTCCGCCCGGTGATAAATTTATTGAAAATCGTTTTAGACCGTTTTCATGGTGTTTGGAGCATTTCAGACGCTTGAAAATGCCTGAAATCGTCCAACAAAGCTGCAATTGAGGCTAAATTGGCTTAAATAACGTTTTTAGTGTTCAAAATAAGCCTAAAATTGTTAGAAAATGAGCTGGAAAAGGCTGAAAATCGTCCAAATTGGCTGAAAAAATCATTAAAATGACCTGAAACTAGTCTGAAGACATGGTTGAAATTCGTTAAAAATAGGCTAAATTTGGTCGAAAATAGGCTGAAAATTGATCCAAATCTATCGGAAAATCACAATTTTCGATTTTCAGGGACCAACTCCCTCAACGTACCGCCCATCCAATGATTCTATGTGCTCCAATGGCTCTTCCACTAACTATCCGATCGGAAATACCCGTTGATAAGCTGGAGCTAGAACCGGGCGGTGTAACGGACCTAATTATGGATTTATTGCAGAAAAAGAAGGATATGACTATTTGGGTAAGACTGGAAATTTGCTGGAAATGGCTGAAAATGCTGAAAATCGGGCTAAAACGGTCCAAAATTAGCGTAAAATGGCTGGAAATAGGCTGAAAATTTGAAAATCTGGTCGAAAATCGACTAAAAATATGCTGAGAAATGAAAAAATTGGCTTAAAATTGGCTGAAAACGGTTAAATTTAAAAAAAAATCGGCTGGAAAAATCTGAGAATATGCTAAAATTCGGCTGAAAATGGCTCAAACTTGAAAAATCTGGTCAAAAATCGACTAAAAATATGCTGAAAAATGACTGAAAAATGACTGAAAATCAGCTGAAATTGCAGCCAAATTGTCTGAAAATGGCTGAAAATCAACTGAAAATGTTCAGAAATTGGAGAAAAATGGCTGAAAATGAGCTCAAATTCGCCTAAAAACCGAGAAATTCTGTATGTTTTGAATGAATTTGACGACAAAATCATCATTTTTGGACCATTTTTTTTTCAATTTTTCTCATTTTTTGCTACCTACAGTAACCCAATTTTCCTTCTTGCAGACCTTCATTGAAGGCTCGTCAAATGGTCCAACTGCTCCATTCGGGTGTCTAAGAATGAATACATTTGGTACTGGAGTCACTCTGATTCTCCTCCCATTAATCCTAAACTGATCCGAAATTAGCCTAAAATGGCTTAAAAATAGCTTAAAATCGTCCAAGATGAGCTCAAAATTAGCCCTAAAATAGCTCAAAATGTGTCTTGCTGAATTTTGGACGAGAATTGAGCTGAAAATGCCTAAAAATGACTGAAATTTGACCAGAATAGCCCCAAAATTGGCCGAAAATCAACTAAAAATGATCGAAATTTGAGTGAAAAATGCTGAAAATGTGCTCTAAATTGTCCTATAAAATGGCTTAAAATGACCCAAAAATAGGATTTTCCGGTTTGAAAAAAAAAATCCGAAATTGACTGAAAATCGAATTGAAATGACTGGAATGTTGCTGAAGATGGTCCAAAACCAGCCGCCAAAAATGGCTTTAAACAGCTCGAAATTAGTCTAAAATTGCTTAAAATAGGATTAAAATGCTCCAAGATGAGCTGAAAACGGCTTAAAAATAGCTTAAAGTTGGTCAAAAATTTACCAAAACGGGCCTAAAATGATTTTTAAAAAAAATCGGCTTAAAATGGTTAAAATGGCTCAAAATTGGGCTAAAATTGCTTACAATGGTCTAAAACTAGCCTAAAATGGCTTGAAATAGCTCAAAATTAGTCTAAAATGGCTTGAAATAGGTCTAAGATGGCTTGAAAATAGCTTAAAATGGTCCACGATGAGCTTAAAATGACTGAAAATAGTCGGAAAAGTTCAAAAATGATCAGAAAAATAGACATTTGGTGCGTTTTGGACCCCGCCGTTTTTCACCTGTTTTTTTTCGATTTTTCGCCCATTTTTGCTACCTACAGTAACCCAATTTTCCTTCTTGCAGACCTTCTTGAAGGCTCGTCAAATGGTCCAACCGCCCCATTCGGGTGTCTAAGAATGAATACATTTGGTACTGGAGTCACTCTGATCCTCCTCCCATTCAATTTCCCACAATTCTACCCGCTAATCGAAGAAGTCGTCAAAGAGCCGATTCTGACGACGTCACAAGTTTGGAGATCCAAATTGGACTCGTACTTTCAGACCGTTCCTTATTATTATTTTACAGTAAGTTTGTGGCTGAAAATGACCCATTTTTGGAGCAAAAAATCAGCAAACTTCCAAAAATAGCACTAAAAATGACCGAAAATTGGGTCCAAATCACCCAAAAATGATACTTTTTTCCCAGAAAATTGTAGACCAGAAAACTCAAAAAAAACCGGCTGAAAATGATTGATTTTGACTAAAATACATGAAAATTCAACAATTCGGAAGCCCTTTAAAAATCCTAAAAATCTGAAATTTTGATTCTAAAAAACACCCAAAAAAGTTGTCAAAAATTTGAGATTTTTGCTTTAAAAACACTCTAAAAATCATTAAAATTTCAGATTTTTTGCTCCAAAAACCCCAAAAATAAAGCTCAAAATGTACAAATATTCAATTTCACCTCAAAAATCGTGAATTTCGGCTTAAAAATGACGAATTTTAGCTTTAAAATGATGAATTTTGGCTCAAAACTCTCATTTTTTCGATTTTTCAAATCAAAAATACCCAAATTTTGACTGAAAAATCGGTCATTTTCACTCAAAAATTGTCAATTTTTGCTCAAAAATGACGAATTGTGGCTCAAAAACGATTGATTTTCGCCCAAAAGTGTCAATTTTGGCGTAAAAATGATGAATTTCGACTCGAAAATGGTCAATTTTGGCTCGAAAAATGTCTATTTTGGCTCGAAAATGATGAATTTTAGCTCAAAAATAGTCAATTTTGGCTTTAAATGGTCCATTTTGACTCAAAAATGGCGAATTTCAGCTTAAAAATGACGAATTTTAGCTTAAAATTTTCCGAAAAAAAACCCAATAAATGGTCAATTTTGGTTTCGAAAAAAAAAAGAAAAAAAATCACATAAAATTTTTGGCTCCAAAACTTTTGGATTTTTGGACCAAAAACACCCCAATATAATACAATTTTGGATGAAAAATGACCCCCATTTTTCACTGAATAATCATTGAAAAAGCTCAAATTTTAGCTCCAGAAACCCCTAAAATCGACCAATTTGCAGCCAATGCGAAACTCTCTGGACAAGATCAAAGTAAAAGTGGACTACAGTAGTTCGATGAGCAATATCTACGCGGGCCAACTGCTGAGCAATCTGAATCGGCTGAAAGTGAAGGCGAAAGAGGAATATGATAAAATATTGATTGAATGCAAGTTGAATGAATCGAAAGGGACCAAATTGGCAAATCCGTCGGTAGGTAGCTTTTTTGGAATCGAAAAAAAGTGGAAAAATCGCTCAAAAGTCGTTATTTTTGAGCGATTTCAGTCAGAAAATCCAAGAAAAATAGGCTAAAATGGCCTAGAAAAGCCATTTTTGAGCTATTTTTGGTTTAAAACCCCCTTGAAAATGGCTGAAAATCCTTCAAAATTGACTGAAACGTGCCCAAAATCGATTCAAACAAGCCAAAAGTTTCAGAAATTGAGCTTTACAAGTCCAAAATTTGCTATTTTTAGGCGATTTTCAGCCGAAATAGCTCATTTCAGTTCGAAAATGAGTTGAAATAGCCCAAAATTGATGGAAAATGGCCTGAAAAACGCTGAAAATCACTTTCCAGCTCGATTGCTCAGCTTAAAATGTATTTTTTGCAGATTCGAATCGAACGAATCACGTCAAGAACCTCGATTATAGGTCTAGGAGGGGACGATGATGATTATGAGGAGCGAATGCTGAATGAGGTCGAATCGACGCCAATTTATGCCGGAGATTTCAAGGTTTGGCTGAAAAATTGCTGAAAATCGTTGAAATTTTGTAATTTTGACACCAAAAAACCCCGAAAAATCATAAAAATTGAAAAATTTAGCTCCAGAAATCCCCGAAAATTGTTAAAATAGAGAATTTTAGCACCAGAAATCCCCAAAAAATCATCAAAATGTTTAATTTTGGCTTCAAAAAACTCCAAAAATCATAAAAATTGTCGATTTTAGCTTCAAAAAAGCATAAAAATTGCTAAAATTCTTGATTTTGGCTCCAAAAATATCCAATTATTACCAAAAAATCGGAATTTTGGCTCCTAGAATCGTCAAAATTGATAGTTTTGGCACCAAAAAACCCTGAATATCATTAACATTTTGTAATTTTGGCTTCAAAATGTTCACCAAAATCCTTAAAATTGTCGATTTTGGCTCCGAAACATCCCAAAAAACTATAAAATTTCAAAATTTTGAATCCGAAAATCCCAAAAAAGTCATGAAAATTTGAAAATTGAGCTCTCGAAATCCCCAAAAATCGTTAAAATAGGGAATTTTAGCACCAAAAAAACCCTGCAAATCATAAAAATTGAAAAATTTAGCTCCAGAAATTCCCGAAAATCGTTAAAATAGAGAATTTTAGCACCAGAAACCCCCAAAAAATCATCAAAATGTTTAATTTTGGCTTCAAAAAACCAAAAAAATTCATGAAAATTGTCAATTTTGACTCCAAAACAATCCCAAAAATCATAGAAATTTGAAAATTTAGCTCCAGAATTCCCCAAAAATCGTAAGAATAAATAATTTTGGCTTCAAAATTCCCGAAAAATCATCAAATTTTGTAATTTTGGCACCAAAAAATCCCAAAAAGTCATAAAATTTCAAAAAATTTTGTCATTTGTAGTGATTTTTAGCTAATTTTTAGCGAGTAAAATGCTTATTTTCAACCAATTTCAGCTAAAAAAAACCCCCCATTTTTGCAGATTCCCCTCTACCCACCTACCGTATCCGATGCCCAATTGGACACATCCTACCGTAATCCGTACATGGGCTCTGTGGAGGATATCGTTAGCAAATTGAACAGGTTTGGATTACTGTAGCGCCTAAAATACCGTAATCCTTTGATTTCCAGAATCCAAGCCAACGTGGATATGCTCTTCAATCCGAACAAAGCGTCGCTTCTCGATATGGCTCGTCTGGGTGATCGGCCGAGATTCAATACGCTGGGTAAGCTTCCTAGACTACAGTAACCCAATATTGCTCATTTCACCAGCGGAAAATGGCTAAAAATCGATTTTTTAGCTGAAAATCCTGTTTTTGGTCGGAAAATCCCGATTTTTAGACTAAAAAACGATTTTTCAAAACTACAGTAATCCCCCGAAAATTCAAAATGTCACTTATTTTTCAACGATTTTTGTTGCAGAAGAACTGCACAATATGCCACAAAAGCTGATGGGAGAATACGAGCCATATCAAGCGGTAAGAAAAGCTGAAATTCCAAAAAAATCTGAAAATCCAAAAAAATCTGAAATTCCAAAAAAAGCTGAAATTCCAAAAAATCTGAAATTCCCAATTTTGCAGGCCCGTCTGAAATTCTATGGCCAACCGATGCGAAAGATCGATGAGGAGAAGGATCGAACGCATGCGTTTGGAAATCCGTACAAATTGAAAGGACTGGGTGCGGGGATTGATGAGGTATGGGAGGACATCTGGACAGACTGACTGACTGACTGAAAGAATTCTAAAAAATAGAAAAAAAGAGCCTTAAATTAGGGTTTTGGCTGGAAAAGTGGACATCCGGACAAACAAACAGACAGCATCGCTTTAAAAAGCTTCTATGGACATCCGGAAACCTAGAAATCTTGAATTCTGAATACCCGGAAACCAGAAAATCTGGAAATCCTGATTTTCGAAAAACTGGAACTTTTGAAAATCTAGAGTATTCTTGAAATCTGGAAATTCGGACATCCGGAAATCTGGAAGTCTGGAAACTCGGACATCCGGAAATCTGGAAATTCGGACATCTGGAAATCCGGAAATTCGGACATCCGGAAATCTGGATTTTCAAAATTTGGAAATCCGGACATCTGGAAATCTGGAAATTCGGACAGACAGACACAGA